GAGGAGTATCTTTGAAAATACAAATGATCAAAATATCTGTACAAAGGTTCTTTCTCTCGGCTCAACAGTGAGCACGGTTTACTCTTTGTACCCAGTCTTTTCCCTAGTGGTCGAAAATTAACCAAGCCATTAAAAAACCCATTCTAAACTGTCTGGACGAGAGCAACTACTAACCCCCTGACTGTCTCCAGGAAAACCGGTTGCCACTCACCTTCTGGGCGTTCCACAGCTAATCGCTTCAAGCTCTGGTAAGTGCCAATCTTGATGGTTCCATAGGAGGCCTGACGCAGCATGGCAGGGGCGATCCTGTCACATGGAAAGGCAGGCGGACAAAAGCCAACCCACACGTCAGAAAACCTCAGAAAGGCTCAAGTACAAAGACATACTCCTGCTGGGCGGTGGTGGCACACGCCTTTAACCCCAGCACTCGGGAGGCAGAGGCAGGTGGATCTTTGTGAGGTCGGCGCCAACCTGGTCTACAGAGTGAGTTCCAGGACAGCCAGGGCTACACAGAGAAACCCTGTCTCGAAAAACTTAAAAAAAAAAAAAGGACATACCAATCTACATCTAAAATGTATTTTTTTCTCTTTTGGATATTTGAGACAAGGTGTCTCTATGTAGTCTTTCTCTGTCCCAGAGCTCAATGTGTAGACAAGGCTGGCTTCAAACTCACCTGCCTCTGCCTACCTAGTGTTGGGATTAAAGTTGTGCGCCACCACATCCAGCTTAAAATGGATTTATTAACATTAAAAATGTAACAAAAACACAAGTGGGTCTTGAAATCAGAGGTAATTTTTAGGTCCCTGAATGGAAGCTTGAGACCCCCGTACTTACCTTTGATGAAAATGTAAATATGGAGTTAATTTGCCCATTCCCAGTAAAATGCACAGGCATTCCTTTCTGAGTATAGAGAACCCAGGAAGGCAGGTACGTAACTCCTGGGGCACACGGTCAGGTTATTTCCTCTCTCTAAGTTTTTCCAACACAATATCAAGTTCAAGGCCAGAATCAGCAAGCACAAGCCAAATGTCTCCATCTTAGACATCACCCTCCCATCCGCTGGGCAAGCAGCCCTTCCCCCAGCTCTTCCTGCATGTCCTGTCTCCTCCTGTAATTACAGCCTGAGACCCCTCTCCCCAAGGTGACCAGACGGATGGGTTACACAGCAGTTTCCACAGCTCAGCTCACGGAACCTCTGCAGCCTCGGCTCCCGGTCACCCTGTCACCTCCCACTACTGTTCTCCATGCCACAGCATCCCACTACACACTCTGGGCGCTCATCCAGATGCTCCCCTCTTCCTCCACACACTCCCCAAGACGTCATTTGTTCCCACGGCTTCATGCTCGTCCTAACAGATGATTCCTAAATCCACCTACAACACAGTTCTGAGGAGTTTCCAGCTGCCCCTAGTTCTCAATTTAGACCCCCCCCCACTCCACGGAAGTCCCTATCAGATGTGCTGCACTGAATTCACTCCCCTCCTTCTCTAAGCACTTGCCCCTCTCTTCTGTTTCCTATGGGGTTGGGGGCGGGGAGTTTGGCTACTACGCCCTGGCTAAACCCACAAGTCCGGACCTTAGCATTTGCTTCCCCCTTCCCACTCCCTCTCCTACATGGGACCCCCATAGGGAAGTCCCACAGTGCCGCTGATCCTGCGGCCTAAACACTTTCCTGGCCTGCTTCCTCCTCCATCCTCAACACCAAACCTCAGCACACACCCTCACAGCCTCCGCTCCCACCCCGACACCTGTTTCTCAGGAGTCTTCTTTGCACTCTTCCTCCCCTGGCAGCCACGTGACTTTCGTAATGGACACCCGCTCACATGAATCTTTCTATGAAAAGCGCTTCAGCAGCTCTTGTCTACCACAGGCACAGCAAACGCCAAGTGTTGACAGGCATGAGGAGGATGCTGGGGATGAGGGAGCAGGGCACGCACATGCGTGTGGTGCGTACACGTACACGGACACGCGCACACGTACATCAGGCATTAACGTTATATAAGTCAGAGAAAACACCCCCAATCGAACCTACGGCTGTCGTAGTGAATGAGTCCAGGCCTGGTGTTGCTCTTCTCCTTTCTCTTGTTTTTAACATACAATTTCTCAGTTTTAAATATTAACTTGGCTGAGCATGGTGGCACATGCTTATAATCAGGAGGCTGAGGCAGGAGAATCATTTGAGCCAGGAGGTCAAGGCAGCCTAGCCAACACAGCATGACCTCCCTATGAATGTATGTATGAATAAATGAATGAATGAATGAATATAAATAAAATGTCTTGGCTTGATTTAAAAACAAAGACCTCTGGTGATTAGTGAGTCCGTGGAGGGGCTTAGGGCAACCAGTGTGGGGCGGATGCTTGGCCTGGCATAGGCTGTCTAGGTCCTGGTGCTCTAATAACACTCTGGCTTCATCTATTATATTCACCAACTCCCAACATGTGTATTCTGAAATACGTGCCATTGCGGGACTATGATGCTGCCTAGCTCTGAAGGAACACACCTCCCCTCTCACTCTGCCTACCTGACTCTTAAGCCTTCAAAGTCTGATTGTGTGCCTCCTAAGTGGAGGGGCTTTCCTGAAAAGCCCCACTTCTCTGCCCTCGACAGTGTGGGATGGACACCAGATACTACCGTAATCCCCTTCCCGCATCTGCAGCCTCCACCGATGGCAGTTCGCTGGGGACTGTGTGATGCTCTGACCTGCTTCGGGCCGCAGGAAGATATCATAAGAACTCAGCTGGTTATGGCAAAGTCACTACCTGGAGGGATCAGGGAATTCCTCCAGAGGAAGCCGAATTCCAAGGATCTTTTGGTGTTATTTGGCTTGTTATATATCAGCTGTCTTCTGTTATGAAAATCATGTGTGCCTTCAGAGTTTTCCCAATTGACTTTTCCCTAAGAAGGGCTAACAGTGTGGACTGATCACTCTCTGGACATACACATTCCAGGTATTTGGAGAACAGCCTCAGGAAAGGCTTCCTCTGGAATCAGATATCTCCCTTAGCCACTCTCAAGGACTAACAGTAATAACAAGTCTCCTGATTTAAGGTAAATTTCACAAGGAGACACCACCTAGGTCAGGTGGACGTTAAGTAATAGCTTTACACAATTCAGCCCGGACTCTCCTTTCTTACAGCCTTACCAACTTTATAGACCGCTAACTTCTTACCTAACCACTTCTAGGAATATTTAGATAACCTTCTGTGCTGACAGCTATGCTCAGCCAGAACCCCAGTTCAAGCCTCCCTGTAATTATCATTATTGGTAGCATCCGGCCAGGTCCATCACCGGATGGAGGAAAGTACCTTATCAGAGATACCTCTGTACTCTCTAAGAACAGACTTAAGCATCCAGGCTACCTGTTTGAGAAGGCCTGGTGGATGTGCCAATTAAGCTTAACTTCCTCCTATCCCAAATCTTACCTCCAGGTCCAGATCTCCCTTTAACTATCACCAGAGGCATCTACCTGTACACAGGTTGCCTAGCGACTGAGCACACTTTCCCCCCACCCTGCAGAAAAACGGCAGATAGCTTGGACAGATAGGAGCCACAGGAATAAAGAAGATAGTTTTATTTTCTCCCATTGACCTAGCAACTTATAGATTCTTAACATTTTCTACTAATCACATTTAAGACTACAGTTGAGCACATAGAATGGTTAGAATGGCTAAGATCAAAAACACCAATGACAACCAATGTTGGAGAGGATGTGGAGCAAAGGGAACACTCCTCCACTGTTGGTGGGAATGTAAACTTGTACAACCACTATGGAAATCAGTATGGCGGTT